TTTTCTTTCTCAAGCAGTATTTCTTCCAATCCCCTTGCCAAGAATAATTCACTGTTTGTATCTTTAAAATTTCTACAACACATGGTAGAACATGGGCTGTTTTGCTAATAGGTGACTTCTGTTCCAAAAGTTTGATCAAGGGATTTTTATTTTTCTAAGTTTTTTTGAGAGATGTGGAGGAGAGGAGACGGGGGGGGGGGTTAGAGGTTAACTTAAGTTGTTGTTTTGAAATTAATGAAATATAGGACAAGTGAAATTTTTTATAATTTCAGCTATGAACGGTTTTTATCGGAACGGGCCACGTTTTGATCGTATTGATCAGGAAGAGGTGCCAGAAAGCAAGCACACCGTATTTATTCGGGGCCTTCCAGGCCATATTAAGACCGATGAAGTGAAGTAAGTTTTGCGCTTGCACACAGATATGGAGATATCTGTGCTAGAATTTATTTGAAAAAATTTCGGGTATAATATTTAGGGCCTCCTGCCCTCCGAAATAATTTCCCTGATTTTCTGAAGGCATGTTTTTTCACTTGCTTTTTAAGTCGATTGCAGCAACCAGGTGGATCAAATTTAAATCACGTCAAATTTGGCTCTGCTTTTCACTCTGCCGAGAAATACAGGCACTTGAAAATTGCTCCAGGGATATTTAGAACCACTGGAAAGCAGAGCTCTCAGTGATTTTGCTTCCGAAAATTGCAAAATAGGCAGTTGAAGATAGTGTTTAGTGACTTATCAGTATCACTCAGGACGACTTAGCTCCCTTGGTTTTTTTCGTAGGTGGATTTGAACCGTTGACTCGAGCTTGGGGATGGGTACGTGGACTCCCTACACTTTTTCCTGGTGGAGGGAGGGGGGAAGCAGAAAGGGGGAGGGGGAGGGGGGCTACAGCAGCGATAATCAAAGAAGGTTATGGGGGATGAGGAGTGGAGAAAGGGAGGAGGAGGGGGGAGGGGAGGTTAGAAACTGCTGCTACTGCTGAGAGATTGGATAATTGAATGGATTGGAAAGAAAGAAAAAAAATGCTATTATCATTACAGGCGAGGCTTAAATTTTGTTATACGTTGAGAGAGCTCTTCTCTACTACTACTACTACTTGTTATGTATGTGTCTACACACCTTGTCACGTTCCATGCCTTTGTGGATGAC